GGTAGAGATGGAAAAAAATTTTCTTCTAACGAAATAAACTATTTGTTAATGTCTAAAAGCTCCTAAAATTTCAAGCTTCTGCATGCTAGGGTATAGGAGAAAAACGACATCAAAAATTTGGAAAAAAAGGACTTTAGATAACGGTAAATTTGAACAGCCATTTTGTTTTTCTAAGGTTTAACTATAGTATTCCGCGCTAGGGAAAGCCAGCCGCTGCCTTTCTGCGTTTGAAAAATTTCAAAAATGCTTATGGTTTCATTGCAACAAATAGTTAAAATGGGCCATTTTTGTGGCTTTGGGGGGGTATAACTTCTAGAGGGGGGGGAGATAGGTAAAAATTTTGTTCTACGAAAATAAGTTTCTAGTAAAGATCTATGCACGTATTAAATTTCAGCTTTCTATCTTTAAGAATGTAGAAGTTTTGTAAACAGACACACGGACGGACGGACGGACGGACGGACGGACGGACGGACGGACGGACGGACGGACGGTCGGACGGACGGACGGACGGACAGAGTGAAACTAATAAGCACTTTTTTTCAAAAAATTTTTGGAAAAGTGCTAAAAATATATATTTTAAAATCTAAGAAAGTAAATAATGGAGTCTAAAAATTATATGCCATCTATATGTATCCGAATATAAATAGATATATTTAATTTGTATAACAGTTTACCATGAAAACTAAAGATGGAGTGACAAAAAAAAAATTACTTATACTTTTTTTTATTTTTTCTTATAAAATATTTAAGAATTTCTCTATAATAATGTCATATGTATTTATTTTATCCGACAGGAAAAATTATTTCAGTTCCAGAAATTATTTAACTTACTCTTATACTCGTATGTATATAAATAATTCTTAAGAAAAACTTGTACTAGAAAAAAATGCTATTTATTATTTCATATAAATATTGTATGAGCGTACGTGCACGTATAAGTACATATGTATATGTAATAAGGCATTTGTTTTAGATTATTCATAGAGGAAAGTTTACTCAGTAAATGAGTAAATAGAAAAGAAAACATATGTGTGTAATAAGATAAATGGTAGGTTAAAATGTTAGAATTATTTTTTTCTTTTTTTGATATTTTCCAATTTAATCTAATTTTTTGAATATTAATAATATTAGTAAAATATTGTTAGTATTTTTGAGTAAAGAGAAATCTAGTTTACATTGATCTTATTTTGTTAGAGAATTTTACAATAAATTTGTCATTTTTGATCAAATTTGAGATGATCTTAAAATAACGCCGACGTTTCCGATTATTTCAATCAAAATTTAATTATTTAATGAAATAGTGTTCAATAATTTTTTATCAATCTATTAAATCGAGTAAACTTGACTTACTTACAAGATTTAATACTACTACTTAATCCAAGAATCTGACCATTGGTGCAGTGGTTATGGCACCGGTCCTTTAACCGAAGGGTCTCGGGTTCAAACCCCGGTCAGGTCACTATAAAAATCATATTCAATAATAATTATAATTTAATATACAATACTAATAAATATTATACAAGTAATTTTCAAATATTCGTAATATTCCATATTAAAAAAAAAAAAAAAAAAACTAAGAAAAATAAACAGTAAATATTAATAACCTCAAATAATTAATATAAATAAAACTACGGCAGGTTAGTCACCTACCTAGTTAAACTCTATGACGCTATGAAACTAGTGCATGAGAAATCATGCACTAGCCCTATGCTCCTTCTAGAAGTGAATAAGGGGAAAAAAAAAAAAAAACTTAATCCAAGAATTAATAGTACTAATAAGACTGGGAGTACGACTAATTCGATCTAATTGCAAGAAAACTGTTTGGAAAACCCGAAAATTTATAATCGCATTTAAAATTTCTTTTTCCTTAAATTAAGTATAATCAATTGTATACCAATATTCTTCTAAGTTTTTTAAAATTACAATGTGACATTTCTTATTCAATATGATTGGGATTTATTGGAAATCTTTATTCAATAGGTTAATCGTTGATCTTATCATCCAGATCCTTTGATTTTCATATCCCAACGAATAATTAGTACAGGCATAAAGTTTCTTATAGAAATTTCTTAAAATTAATTGCAAATTTATTGCAATGAATAGATTTTTTTTTTAAAAAGAAATATTAGCAACAAGTTTTCCTGCTATGACGGTGCTTGACTATCAGATTCAATATTATGGTATTAAAAGTTATCGAATAATTCAATAATATTTTTAAAACATTCAAGGCTGTCATAAATTCTTTTGACTTGCAAAATACTATTTATAAATATTCCAGTTTAATAAAATTTATTGAAAATCTAACATCATATAAGTAGTGACCATCAGAATATTAATTTTATATGTTGTTCAATTGAACTCAGGTCATACAAGTCATACGAATAAACATGTATGTACATATTATGAATTAATTTATAAATAATAATGATATAATAAAATGTCACAGCATTATAATGAATAAATTCAGATCGAAATTCAACTAAATCCTTAATATATGTATTTTGTATGTTTAATTTTTTTTAATATTTTATTATAATAAAAATGTTATTATGCTCTTTTGTTTGCTCTTTATTTGTATAACATTATGTAAAAAATAAACAGAAAGTAGCTACATATATTTATAAATAAAATTTACCATGTTTTTTTTTTAGAGAGAAAATATAATAATAAAATACATGTCACATCATAAAATATTAAGAGATTAATATAATATGTTTTTCACCCTAATTTTTCACATGCTCACATTAAATAACTATATTTTTGAAAAGATAGAATGAAAATGCATTATAACAGTTTTTCCAACAATTTAGAATGCCTAAATAGAAATGAGGATTTTTATTTTAAAAAAGGAAGAATTGAAGAAATTGTGAGAAAAGAAATGATTTTCCTTCTAATATTGGAAAGGCTGCAAAGTCTTATGAAGAATTAACATTTTATGCATGCAATATTAAAGTGACTTTGTCGAAGTTGCTACTATCTTATTTAATCTTGCTAATAAGACAATATAGGATAATATTAGTTAGTATCTAAAATTTGAAGGGAAAGTGTAAAGAAGAACTTATTAAATAAAGGATAATAAAGAGCTTCCAGCCGAATTTTTGGGAAAACAGTGACAATGGGCTGCAAATGAATTAATTCTTATAATCATTACAAGTTATATATAAAAAATTAATTTAATTTTTGGCCTTAATTTTTTTTATGTTATACTATTCCTATTATAGCAAGGGTATATATTGTGTAAACCTAAATATGTGTTTGAGCTGATATTTACCTATTTTGAATAATTTTTTGTGCAGAATAAAAGAAAATTTGTGAATTATTAATTATTATTTTAAGCCTTAAAAAATATCTACTGCAAAATTTATTTGTTGTAGGATATAATATTATCTTGTGTTCGTAGGCTATATTGTTCGTGTTCATATAGAGAGTATGTATAAATTTGTTGTGCATATTTATTCTTATATACAAAATATATACGGATTTTAAATTTTTACATTTTTCAACTTATTGTATATATATATATATAAGTTTATTTATTACCATTATGTACTTAATTTGTTGTATAGTTTGAAATAAATTATAATTAAAATAATTAAGATTTTCCTATAAATATGCCACATGAGTTTATATTTATGAATTTTAACATGGCATTTTCAACGAAAATTTCAAGTGTATGAATTTTTTTTTCTTATTAAGATTTAGTATGGTAAAATGAATTTTTGTATATGTTTAATATAAATATTTTGTATACCTTTTTCAGATAGTACAAGAAATATTGAAAAAGTTTGAGCAAAGGTATTCAAGAACTATATATGTAACACAACTGTAATCTCGAAAAAATCAAGTTTGTTATTACAGATTGGCTCATAATTTTTATTCAAACAGCTGCTTAGAAAATTTATTATCAGTTTTTAATAGTTTTGAAATGAATTTTGTGAATAATGAAATTTTTAGTTTTAAGTTGATAGATTTATGGAATATAAAATCAGAATTTAAGCAAAATTTTGTTAGTATTCTGATAAAATATTCTAAAAAAGAAACAAATACTGATAAAATATTTTGATAATTAATAGAAATTGTTTTCTAATTTTTAATTAAGCAGCATTTTGCTATTTATCGCCCCAGAACTAAAATTGTATGCTATTTTATTTAAAAAAAATTGCATACTTCGCGGGGCCTGAAATTAAATTCAGTCTGAAATACAGAAAAATGTGAATATGTAAGCTAATTTAAGAATAAACAATTCATGCTACGAAATTTTAAAAAAAATATTTTTAAGATTATACATTAAGATTAAATTTATTTCCCAACACAATTATTAAATTGTCTACATTTATGAGCTTTGAATAGATGCCTTTTACTTTTGTATATATAAAAAATTTAAGAAAACATGAAATTTTTTTACCATTCACGATTTGCGGCGACATCTAAAGTGCACCTCATTTTTCTAAACAATTATAATTATAGCTTTTTAGTTCTAATTCTTAATTTAACAATATTAGGATACTTCTTGAAAAAAAAAACCGACGGACGAGCGTACCAATTTTCTAAAAACGAAAAAACTCTAACAAAAACCGAATTCCAATATTTGTTTTCTAAAAATGTAAAATATAATTTACAAGAATTTTTAAAATACAATAGCTTGTAACTAATACAGAGAATATGCCTTTACAATTTTTTTTTTTTTACAAAAAATTCCTGTTAATTATACTTACATACAATTTATTAAATACCATAAAAAATAGTAAGTATTTAAGAATAATAAATCTCTTTACTTATATGAATGAAAATTTAAAAACTTTCTATATTACATTTGCATTCAACATACACTCTTATATAACAAGATATTTTCATTATTATTTACTCATATTAAATATTATGCAAAAACATCCTTAATGTATTGTATGTAAAAAAAGAATTATTTATAAATATTTTATAAATATTTATATAATATTATGTATATATAGAAATAAAATTACAGAACAAAAAAATGTACTTACAAATATCTGAAAAGTAAAAACATTGCAAATTTCATCACAATATTTTTTTTCTTTATCCTTTTTCTCTCACTTTATTATTATTTGCTTGTTTTCCTTTTTTTTTTTTTTTTGTTATTTTAATATTCACTTTATTATTCAGTTTCAATTGTTATTGTTGTTATTATTATTGCTGTTGCTAGTTACTCTTATTATTATATTATTTTCTTAGCTTTCCTTTTTTCTTATTAATTTTTTGTTATTTTTTTATTATTATTTTTTTCGTTTTAGTATTGACTTAGCAAAGTATTTACTGAGAGTAAAAGCAAATGCAGTTATAATATTAACACCAACACAACAGTGTTAATGTAGATATTAACAGAAGAATTTATATTATAATGAATATTAGTTGTGGTATGACAGTAGTAGCATCACTATTTTTAGTAGAGTTCAATAGCAGCAGTATAGCAGCAGTGTAGCAGTAGTATTTTTTATTTATAATAATAATAATAATTTTCTTTTTTATGTTCTGTATTATTTAGTTAAAATATTATTATTATGTAAATTTATAATAATAAATTATTATATGGTAGTATTTGTGTATTTCTGTGTAGCTATATTGCAGACGACGAAATATGTTTATTTTATTTACTTACGATTTTTGTTGTTGTTGTTGTTTTATTGTTATTTGCATTTGTATTATATTATTGTTTGTATACAATTATTTTTCGTCTTTATTCAAATATTATAAATTTTAATCTATAGTTTATATAGAATTTTTTTTATTAATTTATGTTTTTGTTACTTACTTATATTTTATATATTTTTATTTATAATCCTTTGTTATATTTCGTTTTTTCATGCGAAATTTTATATTTCACTTTTATTTTATTGAAATTTTATATTTAATTTTTATTTTTTTATTAAAATTACAATATTCGTTTTTTTATTAAATTATTGGATTATATTGTAATATTTATTTAAAATAATTTGTGACTTTGCATAAATTTTTTGCTTAAATTATAAGTAATATAAGGAGAGAGAAAAAAAATGGAGAAAAATAAATAAAATTTTATTTTTATTTAATTTTGTTATTTTACTTTTTTCGATATTATTATTGAAAATTGAACTTATTTATTTATTTATTTTATGTATTTTTTTTTGTTATTTGTTCATTTATTATTCATTCATTTAATTTATTCACTTTTAAGATGTATTTTTTACTGTATAACACTTAAATAGTAACTTACATTTCTATATTATAGCTTTTAAATGCAACTTAGTCTGCAATATTGTAGTCCTTATGTTTATAAATACGATGTGCATTTAATTTGAACTTTATTTTGGAATTATTTTTAATCGAAAATAGTTATAATTTAAAATTTAATATTATTTATTTTGAAATTAATGAAAATTGAAAATAATTTGAAAATTTTACACAAATATTGTTATTTTTGTTATTAATTTAAATTTGTTAGTTTTTATATTTGTTAATAATTATTAAAATTTTCATTTGAATTAAAATTGAATTTTTTTTTTTCAATATTTTTTTTGTTTATTTCAATTTAATTATTATTTATAATAGTTTTTATATTTTACTTTTAGTTTTTTTTTTTTGTGATTAAAACTATATTTTAATTTTAATTAATAATTATTTTATTGTTTTAGTAGTAATTAATTGACACCAATTAATTGAATTTGAATAAATTTTTTTTTTTTTTTAATTTAACAATATTGGATTTTGTGTTTTTATTTCATTTGATTATTGAAATTAGCATAAAAATAAAAAACAATTGACATTAATATTTGATTTAAGTTACAAAAAATTTACAATTTTTTGTTTTATAAATATGTTTTTTTTTGGATTTTGTAGGGTTTCTGCCGCCTATATTGTTTTTTAAAAATAAAAAGAAAAAATAATTTTTTATTTAATATTAATTGATTTTTTTTTTTATTAATCATGTACATGATATGTATGTATGAAAGTAATGAATAAATTATTAAATTAAATTAACTTTTATAATAGTAATTTACTATGTAATGTAATGTAAGCATAATAGTACATACATACATAATATGTATAGCTCTTATAATTGAATTTAAAAACGTAATTATTCACTGTTACAAAAGATATGCAGTGTATAGATAATATTAATAATCAATAACAGAATAGTAGTGCAGAGTTTGACTTGAGATATTGAATCAAAAAATATAATTGGAATAGGATAGGAGTTCTTTTTGAATTGTTCAGGGCAACCGGAGTTTTATAAAAATTCAATTGGTTTCTTGCTCGAATAAATGACACTAAAACTAAATTTTGTAAGAAAGAATAGAATGGCAGATGTGAAAGTTCTTAATGAAGTGAAAGTTCTTAAAAGAAATTCGTCTTCCTTCTTATTAAAACACTTTGTAGTTCTCATATTTTTGATACAAAAATTATTAAATAATATAAAAATTATTTTAACATTTGTTTTTCTCGTTTACAAATTTGTCAAAATATTTATATTGAATTTAATTAATTATTTTATTAATTATTTATTTATTTTCAATAAATTTTTAATATATTTTATCTGTTATTTTTAATATAACAGTTTAAAATTTCAAAAAATTTTAAGTTAATTGTATTTTAAGAAACTATTGTTGCAAAAATTTTAAGAAAACCCTATTATTACAACAAAAATTATACTACATATAAATAAGGCTGATAAAATGCAAATTTTATAAAATATTCAAAGCCCTGGCTATAATATTTGAAATATAGAAATATACATACATGTATAACAAAAATTGAGAGCTAAAAATGACTAAAAACATATTTTGAAATTCCAAAAGACAGAAATATTTCTTTCATTAGTTTAAGGTTGTATCACTTTGTTCTAATACAAATTTGAAATAAAATGGCCATGTTTTATGTACTCCATCAAAATCTAATCCACTCTCTAATCGAAGTTCAATTCTATTTAAATAAAAATACAAAACCAAATTAAAGAAATCTGATTTATAATTTTGATTTCATGCTAAATACATATTTACTTTATACGCCCACGTATAGGCAATTTTAAGAAAACCTAAACATTTATAATATTACTATGAAAAACCATTTATAGTATGAGTTAGCATTTAGAATATGAAATTGAAATGACAAATGATTTATAATGTAAAATCAAAAATGTATAAATAATCTAGAGAAAGGTAATTTTTCTAATTTACTTTTATATAATAATATTTACTAAAATATTTATTTTATAAAATTATTAATGCTAAATACATAAACTTAACCCACGTGTAATCCTTAAACACGTACATAAGTTAAAATATCAGTAATGTGAAAATTCTTTAAGAAAAAAACCATTATTAAAGTTTATTTATTTTTGTTTTCTTGTTTTATTTCTTCTGAAAACACTTTTAACTTTTCTTAAAGTCAACATTTTTATATTTTATTTCGTTCTACTTATAGTGCACGAAAAAAAAAGGAAAATTATTACATAATTCTTGGAATTTGATGTTAAAATATAAAAAATCTTTAAAATATTATAAAGATGATTTGTTATAATTTTTTATAAACAAAAATACATACATACAAATATATGTATTTTGTATAAGTATATAAAATTCAACATGTTCTTTTATATTTTTTTTTTTTTCGAAAATTTTCTTATATAATAAAAAATGATGAAGAAAAAATGTAAAGGATTAGCATGAATTAGCATGATAAATGCTTTCATGTTTTATTCAACTTTATAAAATATTATTTTTCTCTATCTTCTATATTATAGCCTCTATATATATATATAGAAGCTATAATATTATATAAATTTAATGTATATAACTTGAAAACCATCTTAAATTGCTGAAAACTGAAGGTACTTTAAATAATTTTACACAACTTTATCTTATTTTTTAATAAGTTTTGAACAAACCAATGATATTTAAAAAAGCACATTTCCCATGAATAAACGAAAGCTTTTATAAAAATTCTTTACTTTTCTTTAAATTATTATCAGTCATAATTTTAATTATATTTAACTATAACGATATAATTTTAATTATATTACTTATATTTAAATTGTTCTCATAAACAATTATATAAAATATTATTATAATTATTGCATACTTTCAGGATGAAAAAAAAAATCTAATAGAGCGGGATAGTCGAATAGAACAGTTAGAGTAAATAACTGTTATATTTTTTGATAACCAGACCATTATTGTTAATTTTTTTTTCTTTTTATAGAAAATTTTGGCAAAAATTTTCAATTTCGCATATAGGTGGCCGCAAATTAAAATTTTGCTACTTTCCCAGAGTCGATCCCTATCCCAAATTGAAAGGGGATAGAGATAAAAAATTTTTCCTGGGGGGACAAGTTTCTCACAAAGATCTAATTGAGAAAATAGAATGCACAGGCAGAATGAATCTAATAAGCCAAAATGTGCTAAAAAAAATGTGCTTAAAGAAAATATTAAGATATTGAAGAAAAATTGAATATAATTTACATAAAATTTTCACGTTAAAAAGCATATTACGACTAGCTATGTATATATACATACATTTTTTTTTTTTTTTGAAATAATAAAATATTAATGTTAAAAATTGACAGGCAAAAAGATAAAGATTTAAAATTTATTAAAAAAAAAAATGTAATGGTAGATTGAATAAATGTGGCAATAAAAAAAGATTAAATATTATATGAAAAGGAAGGGTTAAGTGCAAATCAGACTTAATCAGACTTATGGTTAAATGAAAATTTCATACCTTGTTCAATCAATTCAGATTATTTGTTCGCGTGTTTCACATTTTGACTTTTTTCTTTTGAAAAAATATCATTTATTCATTTTTTATAATCTTATATGTGTATAAATTGTTTTGGTTCTTTAAAATTATATGGTTAAAATTTTTATTTATAAAAAAGTATAAAATGGTTTCTTGGTTTGTTAAAAACAGAATTAAATTAAGTAAAAAGTTTATTATAATATTCTTTAATCGAAAAATTTTCCATTTACTAATAAAATATAATTGCTGTATAATATGTAGGTTTTATTAAGTAGGCACATACATATATCATGAATAATCACAGATTTAACAGAGTATGTTAAATTTATTTTTTTGTTATTTTATAAAAATTGAAATAATTTTTTTAAAATTGACGAAGATTAGTATTGAATACTGATAAAAAAATTGAAAATTTCACTACAAGAACCATTATTTATTAAATACACAAAATTTTATATAGGAAATTCCAGGAAATAAAACATGATTTTTTATAATTATTTATAAAAATAATTAATTATAAAATATCGAAAGATATTGTATAATATCGAATTTAACTTGTGTACGATATTAGTGTAATACCTTAATTTCGTGGGTTTGAGTAAGGTTTGACAGGAAAATAAATAATTTTCAAATTAGTTAATTTTTTTTTTTAATTTAACATGAATAATTTTTTCTTTAAGAATGTAGATTGTATCGTATTTCAGTAATTTGTATTGCTTAGCTTATACATTTGTTGAATTTAATTTAAAAACGATCTTGTAGCATTGTAGAATCTTAAAGAATTGTAAAGTGATATTGAATATTACTAAATAACGCAGGAGTTAAATAGTATATACTGAATAGTAAATGAATTAATTTGTGTGGTAATAAAATATTGCAGCAAAGTGTGATTAGAGCTTTTTTTCAAAGTTTTTTTTTTTGTAAGTCTTATTACTATATGTTCACTTGTTCATATATCACGATTTAAAACTCTGAAAATGTAGAAAGATATCGGAATTTAAAATTTAATATCTTATCGGCGTGTTGATATTAAGAAATACGCCTTCCCTTCCAATTAATTACTCGTCAAATTGGAAAGGCAAAAAGGTCTGATAATTGGAAAGATAAATGTCTTCTTATTTCAAAATATAATTAATCAGATTAAAAAATTGT